ATTTACGCTTAATTTGCTCGCTTCATGAGATTTTTGACGGTAGTCGCGTCGCAAAGATCATCAAAAACTTCAAAACGCAAAGGCACAAGGGAAGACTCAACGTGAAAAGGAATGCGGCGCCTCTTATTTTTAAGTTCTTCCCGTGACCTGTTGCGCCGTAGAAAATCTTCCAGAAGCGCCCGGGTAGGAGGCAGTTCTCGAGCCGCAAGCTGACCTTTAATGCTATTTTCAAATGTACCACTCGCTGTTGGAAAAGTTGTGAGGTTGATAACCTTGAACAAATGGCCAAAATGACAATTTTGGGACCACAGAGTTGAAAACCTTGGACCGAGTAAACCTCTGCATCAGTGCTACTTGACGGCAAACGTCTGCAAGCACATTTGTTAACGAATCTTTCTACGGCGACGGTTTAACCAGATTTTGTGAGGAGAAGTATTTTTTACCAGTGAGGCCCCTTAACTTCACTTTAAAATAATATTTACAAACCTTACTTGGACGTAACGTTATATTTCTGGCTATCTACATTCACCAAAATAGATCAAATACACCTGTCAATGTTGTTGACTCCGGAAGGCAATTTCGGCTTCTAGTGAAAACGAGCTCAATTTTCATTGGCTGTATAAAACATTTGTAGAAAAGAGATCAAGCGCAACTAATTTGGGGGTGTTCGATAATCTCATAGGCTTTGTCGGAAGGCGTTTTTCCTTTCTCTTCCCCTCACCCTCCTCCCCCCTCCCCTCCTCGGCCTACTACCAATATTCCAATTTTTACTTGCTTCCAAAATAGTACTTAGCACTTTGTCTACTCCCTCTACGGCGTTTTCCCAGTCCATATCGGTCAATTCATTTCAATAACGTATCCGAGGCGAACATTTTCGCTTGGACCACGTGACCCGAAATGCTTTGGCCGCGCGGAATAATGACGCCTAGGGACTGGACAACTTAACACCATGGATCAAAGTTTCAGAACGAGCGTGTGTAAAAAAACCTTACCCCAAGTAAAAAGAAGGTATACGTTAGAATCCTCTCTTGCGGGGTCTTTTTCCATACAGTCAAAACCCCCTTTACGGATACCCGTTTAATACAGACACCTCATTACGGACAGTTTGTTTTGTTCCTTGGAAAAGAAGGCCCTTATATTCTCTTTAAATTCAACCGGCTTAATACGGATACCTCATTTATACGGACGCTTTTTATGGTCCCATCATTGTTCGCATTAACTGGGTGTGGCTGTACTTTGTACTTCACATTATACCGGGATGGTGATTATTCAGCGGCTTTGTCGCGATTCCACTGTGCTTCATGACCCAATGCCATGAATTATTCCAGTTTTCTGGCACTTTGCTATTTTCTGATTGAACCAATCAGATTGACCTTAAAACAATCATGTACAGTTCGTAACACATCTGGAAAATCAAATCGTGAACTTCGAGTAATAAATTGGATTCATTGCCAGCCATTTTACGAAAACAGAAAAAACCAGACCCGCGCCCTTTTACTCTACTGTCACACAGTAACAACATGGTCACGTTACCCGGCCAACAGGCGTGTCTTTTTGGTATGCTTTTTAGCATTTATGAAGTATTTTTCGTTGCTAACATTTGCGTAGTTGGCTTGTTTACCTCCTTCATGCTTATAAAACCATGCAGGAACAGACAAACATCTGCAAGCAGGGAAGGTCACGTGGCTGGAACTAGGAGGTTTGATTAAGAGGAGGTAGGTAAGAGAGGATCGAGTAGGGAAGGTCAACTCTTTTCATCTATTGAATCTGTTTAATTGTTGGTCATTTTCACCCTTTCTAGCCTTTAACATCACTTCTTCAAGGAAACTTCTCAAACTCATTAATAATTCATTAAGAAAATACAAAGGAAATTAATGTTTAATGAGTGTTTGGAAATCGGATGAAACACTGCTTAGTATTTGCATCCTTAATTTCTCCTTCAAAAATGATTTTGTTTGAGAAGAAATATCAAACATTCGACACAGTGTTTCATCACCAGATGAAACACCTCGAAGTTCGTCAAAAATATTCCGCTGCGCGTCGTATTTTCAACTCTCTTCTCGGTGTTTCATCTGGTGATGAAACACTGCATCTCATGTTTGATATATTACGTCAACTATGTAGACCTCTAATGTCATGATGATTCGTGCAACACACAACTTTAACTACTAAATTAAACTCGCTATTAAATTAGACGCGCGTGTCAAGTCTCAGAAACACGGTGTGGTGCAGTCCAGGTCAAGGAACGTCTTAACATGACCCCAATATCACTATCTGGTCCTCACAAAGTATATTACACGCTGCGTTTTACCTTTTTTTTACTACAGTGTTACTGGGAGATGTGAGCCACTTTCAGACATCTGGAACATTCACAAAAAAGCCATACAAAAAAAAAGTTCACAACATTCTTCTTGTCGGTTTAGTTGTACGTTTTGTCCAGATTTTGTCAATTGATACAACAAGCCATTGGTTTAAAAAGGTGTACTGATCATGACTGAGAGTGAAAAACAGGTTCCATTGTTAGCTTCCAAATGAAGGCTGTATGCGAATGTTCAGCCTTTTTTCCAGTTTCAAAACAGTTGGTCTGATTGGTGCTTTTTACGGACCCTCCCTCCGACCCCTACCTATATTCGCTACTCTATTAACGTACGAAATTTCAAAGTTTATTATATACATGTCTCTTTCAATTCCTGGATATGGCAGCTTGCCTCCAGGGCTGTTCAAATGGATTTGAATTCCAACTTTTGCAATTATATTCTTTTCATCCATCGCCAAGCACAACGCTAACTAAAGACCCGGGGGTACTCCCTATGATGGCCCATACAGAAAGGCTCCGCCCGAAAGGGGTATCTTTTTCAGGCTTCAGTTACCTTATTATAGGAAATTAACGCTCCATGAAATTAAGGTATTGGAAATTAACGCGACTTAAATTAACGCGAGTTTAATGGGAAACGACTTTCGAATAAAGAAAATTAACGCGAAGGAGGAGGTAGAATTTCATAATAAAGGAAATTATCGCGATTAATTACGCGAAATCAAAGGAGAAGGTATTGACATCACCTTTGACAGCGACAACGATGAAGATGAACTCGAAATATTGTAAATCTTCGCCTTAGCTTTTGTCAAAGATGAAATATAAAGGGTAAATGGAAAGAAAGAAAGCTTGTAGTTAATGTTCTTTAGGTGTCAAGAATGTCTGGACAGGTTCCAAAATTGGGTTTAAAATACTAGAAATTAAGAGCCACAAAATGAACGCTGCACTTAATTAACGTCGCGGAAATTAACGCTCAACAAAATTAAAGCGACTTAAATTAACGCGAATTTTAACGATTCGCGTTAATTTCGTGGAGCGTTAATTTCCTGTAATAAGGTATATGAAAGGGTAGGGATTTCACTAGTTGATGTATATAAAAGGGCGGGGAAATCTGTCATTTGGGTCTGTGAAAGGACCCAAAAGGGCTAACAGATAAATTTTATGGTTTTATAAAGTCGAGAAAACGTTGAGTTCAATTTTTGTGATTGATTCCTATTTGAAAGACGAGCGCTTTTTACAGCAGTTAAAAGGGACGCAAAGTTCTAGACAAGGTATATTAAAGGGGTACCATTTGTCAATAGAAGGTATACGAACAGGGTACCTTTTTCGTGAAAATGGCATATAAAAGGGTGAGGAGTTGGACCTCGGAGCGGAGCCTAACAGTATAAACATTTGTTGAGTACCCCCCCCCCCAGGACTAAAGATCATGGTCACAGATTTGCAGAATCCAGCTCTCTTTGCTCTGCTTTATGAAAGGCCACCAGAAGTTCCTCAATTCACTTGTGTTGAAACTGCAACTGAAAACAGAAAGTTGCTTGTGTTATTTAAGAAAGCGGGAAGCTATCAAGTCTAAAATTCGCATTTTTCGCAAATTCAAAACAATCCCGAAATCTACTACTCGCGAAAACTGGAATGCAAGAAAAATAAAAGTTGCGAAACTTAGTACTATGTCGCGTTACAAAACAAAATAAGTTAAAGTTGCTGTAAGTCGTGGACGTGATGACGATGATTTTAGGTAATTTCAAACATTTTTCTTCTTCTCAGTAGATTTTTCCATATTTTCTCCCTGCTTCACTATCATCTGTGTCCTAATGTACAAATCTTTCAAATCGTCTTTGGTACATTCACTTAACTTTATGGTCGGCTCTCTCTTTAATTTTGGCGCTGTTCTTTTTCATAAGTAGATCAAAGAATGTTATTATACCCTTTGTAACATCGGTATTTGTTCCCCCAAAATCGCGGAATACCATTTATGAATTTTCGTGCGAAAATTTGTAAGAATAATATTCACTGTAGACGTATATCTACTAATTGTGTTGTGGTGTGGGGACTGTTTAGGCCAGGGGCCATAATCAATCATACCTCCTGGCTTAGGCTGCAAGTATCCCAATATTTTCTTCAAATTAGGGACTTTAAGATTCAACCGGACTCGACGGCAACGAAAACGTCCTAAAAAAAGGACTTTGCAGAGGCATCGCGCTTTTTTGTACATTTCTTTGCCGTTTTTGCACAAGTAAGACGTGAAAATGCCTAATTTCGTGTTTTATGGAGAACGTAAACAAGCAAGGAAGAAATTTTATTTCGCTTTCTGAACTTGAGTATGGTCCCTTGGAATTCAAATTCAGGAGTGTTCGCGTACATTTGACTAAGTAAGTAAGTAGGAATAATCGCGATAAAGAATGAAGAACACAAATTCACTTTTTAACCGACGTTTTCGTTGCTGTCGCGTCGTTGGATCTTAAAGTCCCTTTCAACTTTTTAGTGAAGGAAGTACTCGCGGACGAGGGAGCCCGCACCCTCAACCGCGCACGCCGTTATTTGCGTATTTTGCGCCTTCCGCTCCACGGACTGAAAAAATAGACACTGCTCATAGAGTCTAGGTAATGTTAGGGTCTGTTAGGCTACAGTAGCTCGCGAAACTGACCTTGTGCCGCCTGTTTTTGACCGAGTAGAGAAAAGCTCACCTTTAATACTTCTTTTCAGATTCTGTTGGCAACTGTACGTGGACGAATTTTATTCTTGTGCCGGACAAACCGATGGCGACAAGAGGCTGATTCAGACAGGCTCCCAAACAGAGCGGTTGCTCTCCAATGTCTAGAACACTTAGCAGATGTCCGGTTCTGACATTACACAATCGAAGGAAGTTGTCCCCACTGCAGCATACGAGAGTTTCATCATTTAAAAACTTACATTCAATAATGTCGTTCTGGTCTCTAAGAAGGACGTGCAGTGTTTCTCCAGTATCTGCGTCAAGAACATGTAGACCTTGACCTTCGTCGAGAGTGTTCCACGTAACAACAAACTCATTCTTAGGCGAGAAAATCATGTGTTCGTCGCGAAGATATGAATTATCCGCGATTCGTTCCCACTTAATTGATCCTTTGTTTAATAAACTAACTGTGACCACCCCCTCGTCTATAGGTCCCCAGGATTGCCCTGCAAAACGGCAAACCAAAACATTGCTCGGACTATTGCATGAAATGCTATATAAGTATCCGCATTCGTCGTAACGTGTCAACCTTAGCGAGGACACAAGCTTTCTCCCCTGAACGCCGGTTGTGCTCATAACGTCAAGACAATAATCTGTACAATCCTCGAGAGGTGTACACTCTAACAGGTCGTCGTGTAAGTTTTCGTTTTCTTCAGATTCTTCTAGACTTCTGATATAAATTGATTCCCGTGATTGTGGCGAATAATAAAAGGCTATCAGTTCATCTGATACTGGTATCAAGGTTACTGAATACACAATACTAGTATCACTGGTAAGTTTAACAATACTTCGAATGCACTCCGACAGGTCGAAATTCCACAACTCTGCTACACGATCATTTTTAAAGAGTACAAGACCTTCCTTCGTTGGAACAATCGACACAGGGCCAAAGAATGTCTTTGTCTTCAAAAATTCTCGACTTGACAGTTTCCAGATGGTTATCTCTACCACTTCTGAACTAATGTAGACAAACCTGCCTGAACTTACAACGTATATTGCATCGCCTTCCATAGAAAAAATAATCTCCCTGACACCCATGTTAACGTTCGAGGAGTAAGTCGAGTCGGACTCCTTCTGCAGTAGACCAACATTTAACATCGTGACATATTTGTGATCTGGACTACCAACTAAAATTGTTTCATCGTTAAGGCTGATGTAGGAACCTGAGAACAAATACGGAATCTCTCTCTGCACCTTCGACACCCAGGAAGGTCCTTCATCCTGTTCCATAAAAGTACATTCAGTCAAAGCGCTTGGTGGAGCGGAGGGCCACAACACGAAGTTTCTAGCATCGACAGGTTCAAAATGCGGATCTGACAGGGAAACGTTATTTAGAGGATTTATGATGGTAACTGTTGGTTTTCTTTCTTCAAGTTCTAACCCATCAAACGGGCATCTGTAGTCCTCGCAAGAGGCTAATAGACATCCACAAACCAGAGTATCATTATCGGATGTGAAATGCATCAACCCACACACCCAGTCATCTTTACCAGCGTCGGTGAAGCTCAAACGAAACCCGTTTGTTAGGTAAAAAATAGTTATCTTACCAGTCGCTTCAGAAACAGCGATGCGTGACCCATCGCCAGAAATGGTAAAGGATGAAATTTCTTCATCGCAATGGATCATGACTCTAAGCTTCTGGCCATTCTCCATATCCCAAAAGATTATCTGCTTTGGATCATCTGGGCAGTCTGTAACTATCACTTCTTTGTCTTTATAAGATCGTAAGAAGCAGTATGAAAATGTGCAGTCACTGTCCGGAAAAAGTTCTTCCCTATCTCCACTAATGGTGTAAACATATTTGAGAGTTCCTGGTATTACCGACTTCCCATTTGGATGAAATGTGACAGAATGATAAAATGACAGAAAATGCCTAGTTTGTCGATATGCACCACTACCCGCATATGCCTCTTTGGAACTATACGTTCTGTTTGTTAGCGATGGACGAACCCATACTTTGGTACCAGTCAGCAGGGAAAAAAGATGGATTGTTTCATCTCGACACTCGCATACCATGTAATCCAATTTAGGTGAAATATCAAAACATGCGATTTTATCTGAACAGTAAAATCGTCCCTGAACGGCTCCCTTTTGTTTCTCATTGTCTAAATACTTCATGTATGGCACCTTTGGAGTTGATGACTTAACAATACCTGCTGCTGTAGACGATAATCCAGGGGTACCTTCGTTAATCAAACACTGGAAAAATAGGTGAGGGTAATCAAACAAGATGTAAGAGTGTTTTCTCAGAAGACTTAGGAGAGAAGTCACAACAAAATCTTTTTCCTCGCTTACTATTCCGGAATTCTCACGGTGGAGGCTGAGAAGATCTTCTATAGCTGATTTGCTCTTAACACAAAGTCTTGCATAAATAAGTTCGACTTCTGTTGCGTATCGGTACACCTGTTCTAC